TAGGCCCGAAACGTCAGCCTCTCTGCTCCTATGATGCTGCTTGGCCTGCTGTGTTCATCCAGCCCTGCACCTTGTTGTCTCGGATTCTCCAGCATCTGCAGTTCCTACTATCTCTGATTCGAAAATACCGTAGATGCTGGATGTCTGAAATGCAAATAGAGAACACTGGAAATGCTCAGCATGTCAGGCACTCTGTGTAGACGTAGAATGGCAGCTCCATGTCAGTTGCTCCGCAGCTGTTTTCTGACTGGCTGAGTATATCCAATACTTTCTGTTTATGTTTACCTACACTTGGTGACTGTTGAGGTCAGACAAGTGTCACTCATAACATGTAGATAAGAGTATTCCAATGTATTAAAACCCCAGCTAAGTCTGACAACATTACACCCTCTGAGAAGTTGAGAGAAGTGACTGTCTGTCCTCCAAAAATGTGTCCTGACTTTGGGGCAGTTTCCAAATTCAATAACCAGTACGTCATTGGTGAGGGCATGGGGTAGAACAGGTAGCAATGTAACCTGTAGAAAATACAGTTTAAGCCTAACTGGAGTATTGTACCCAGCTCTGGGCACTACACTTCAAGAAGGATGTGAAGACATTTGAGAGTGTGCAGAACTGTTCCCGGGAATGGAATCTTCATTTGCAGAGATCGATAGGAGAAAAAGTAGAAAGGAAATTTGAGGCGTTCAAAATTGTTATGGGTCTGGACAGAAACTCTGGAGAGAAACTGTTCCCATTAGTGGAAGGGTCCAGAACCAGAGGTCACGGATTTAAGGTCATTGGCAAAACAGCCATGGCAGCAGGCGGAGAAACTTATTTTTAGTGCAAATTGTGGTCAGGATCTGGAATGCACAGCCTGAGAGTGAGTTGAAAGCAACTTCAATCATGACTTTCAAAACGGAATTGAATCGTTATCTGAAAAAGAAAGCTTTTGAAGACAGGGCTACTAAGGGGGTGGGGAAGACGGGGAATGACCAAAAGTGAATTGCTTTTGTAGAGAGCTAGAATTGACAACGGGCGGAGGACCAACACTGATGCAATGGGCCGAATAGCCGGTGCCACCACTTCAATGGTTGGGTGGGCAACCTTCCTTTACCCTTTAAAGGGAGCCAGTTTCTGATGATATCAAAGCAGGGAGCTGACAAAAAGGCCGCTGCCTTGCATTCCAAATGACCCAATACCTCCCAACAGTATCTTTGTGGCGTTGTACATAATAACCAGGTCAATGGCAGGCAGCCATAGGAGAGATTAAATCACTAAACTAATCGTACAGACTCGGCGTAAAGTGCATCCACAACATTGGCATCAGATTATTTATATTTGGCCAATAGGAATTTGTTACGTCCTAAATCCAGCTGATTGAACAAGTGACCAGAAGATGCCCCGCACCAACGCCCACCTCTAACATAATCAGTCCCCCCCACCACCCCCTTGAAATCTGATCGGAACAAATCAATAATTCCGTACATCGAGTTTTGGATGTTCAGACTCACGGCACATGACCCACAAACACGAAATGAATCTGTCCGTGTTTTGACGAGAGGTCATCGACCTGCAACCGGCACTTCTGCTCTCTCTTCCCCTCAACAGAAGCTGCCAGACCACAGCGGAGTATCCCCAAGCCTGTATTTTAAATTACCTTCTAAGGGCAGTTCTGAGGTCGAAATGCCCTTCTTCCCCCCAGCCCCCCTCCCGCTTCTTTACCGGTTTACAAAACAAACCCAGGGACGGGGAAACGCAAGCATTTCGTCTCAGTGGTGTAGTGTTTGTGTTTTTTTGTAACACAGGCAATGGTGATTGTGTGAGACGGGCACCAGTGGGCTGGCTCTCTGTTTACGAGCTCGATGCGTCACTGCAGGGTTGACACTGACAATGACATTGACACTGAAACTGATACAAGCGCCGCCTCCGATACTGTAAAAAACCGGCAACAACTGCCGCAAACGCAATTTAAATTCGGCTTCACACTGGTTACTTACAGTGACTTTGACTTGTAGTAAATGAATGCACCCAAATTAAATGATTAGTGAGCGCTCGATTCTTGAGAACGAGGAGTCTTTTACCTGGTTGTCTGATAAACTTTAGCACATACAACACAGCCGTTGACTTAACCGCTGTCAAGCGCCAAAAAAAATGGTAAGCTGTTTCATGACAAACTTGCCAGTTTTGACGTTATTTTGTATATGATTGAGAAACACAAAGATCTCCCACCGGTTCTCGGATATGTTCGCTATTGGCAGATTGGTGCAAGTGTTTATTGCAGTTACGTGTTTCAGATTGCACTGACTGTAATGGCTACATTTACCTCCCTTCTTGAAGGCGACTAATATCGTTCGTAAGTCAATTAGAGTTAAGTGAATTGTTACTGTTGCGCTCGCTGTTGACTGGTGTGATGTACAATCGGTGTCTTGTCAAATGGTAATGGTAATATTGTTTAGAAGTTTGACACGCTGTATAATCCCGCTTTGTTTTCGCGTTTTAAGTGGAAACTCCAATCTGAACTGTGCATGCTCAAGAGAGGACAAAACGTTTTCTCCCGGGTTAGGTTTAAATCATTAATAAATGTGTCTGACCTATAGGAAATGTGTTCAGTTACACGTAGCTATCTATTTTCCAGCATAAACATTATAATCAATCTTACTTTGCCCCCTTTTAGCTATGTCCAGTAATACGTAGGTCATGACACATTGTCGAACTGTTGTAAAAAAATGCTTCTTAACGGAATGGAAATCAAATTAATGGGTGCGACAAAACTGTCTTGACCTTCATATGGCCATTTTTGTACATAATACAGCCGTCCACCTTTTTATATAGAGTTGCATTGTAGCGGCATTTCTGTCATATATAGGGATTTTCCCATTTAATATAAGAATACAAATATAACTGCATTAGCTCCGGCAATGCGGAACATTACCTTGCAATCCGGCGACCTAATTTCCAAGCGAAATAAAACAAATTCAGACACAACACTTGGAGGCAGTAGGGTACCACGTCACATACACAAGTATTTAAAGATGCGGCTAAACGTTATTTTTTCAGATCCGCTGCTTTCGGTACTACTCCTGTGCTATCAAATGGTTAAAATAACTGCGCACAATCTGCCACGGGCAACCTTAGGAACATCGTGTCAGATCACTATGCAAGTACAAAATAACAAGATCCATTTAATTCATTGTTTGGTCACTTCATTGTATCTTTAGTTACCATGGTAATCCATGTTATTTCATCATTTTTGCGTGTTATGTGAATCAGGCACGGGGCGCATCATATAGTTGCTTCTATCTAGAAGTTTGACGTGAAGTTTATAGACTGAGTGAACAGTAGAGCAGAATTTGAACATATGCGCGAGTCAGGCCAAATAAGTGTGACAGCACCCACAGAAGGTGAGAGGCAGATAGATCTGTAATTAAGTAAACAAAAAAAGGTACGCCTGCACATGCCAGTATTTAAAAATAAATTTTAAATCGCAGTAGAGCTTTTCTGTCCAATTTGAAACATTTAACCCAGCCCCCTTCGGATTGGGTTCATTGACATACGGAAAGAAAACAGCAATTGCTGGAGAAATTCATCAGGTCTGACAGCACCTGCAGAGAGAAGTTCCGAGGAAGGATCATTGCACTCGAAACCTTAACTCTGCTTTCTCTCCACTGGTGCTGTCAGACCTGCTGAATTCCTCCAGCAATTGCTGTTTTTCTTTCACATTTCCAACACCCGCAATTCTTGGTTATATTTCATTGAGATACTGCCGACAATACAATATCTGGGAGGGCGTTGATTAATCAGAATATTGTAATCCTGTTGTTACCATGCCCTTTGGCTGGCTTTGATTGTGTATGTGTGGAGAGAGGCGCAAAAATGGAACATGCTGATGAAACTCAGCACCTGCAGAGTTAAAAGTGTAGAGTCTGGGATCACAGTTGTTCCGTACACTATTTATTTCGTTAGTGTAGATTTATTAGAAGTGGGAGGGCGAGGAGAATATGCAGGGTCAAAAAGAAGCATGAACAGAAAGGGAAAACTGAGTGGGTCTGGTAGCATCTATGAAGGAAAAAAACAAGAATTAACGTTATGGGTGCAGTGACCCTTCCTCGGAACTGCAGGAATACGTAGGGTACACGGGCGATGCTGCAGCAAGGGAACGTGGGGGAGGCGCGGAGCGAAGGCGCGTTTGAATTTCCCGCCGGCCGGCCGGCCGAGAGCGCGGGGCCTGTCGGGAGAGGCCGCGCGCTGGATGGTGGGTCTCGGTTGCTGCGCCTTCTCCGGTGGCGGCGGCGGAGTGACCGGGACCGAAGGCGAGCAGCGGCGTCGCACTCGAAGCTTTCCTCATGTTTTTGGGACGCCAAGTAAGTTGTGACCGATTCCTTGGGACTCGGTTTAGTTTGAAATGTGAGATGGGGAGGGGGGGAAGTCTGTAGGCCGCTTTCCTCCTTTGTCTGACTGGGAAGGAGGAGATACCGTCTCCGTCCTTCACCGAACTCCGCTCAGAGAACCGACTTCACTCGGGTTCCTCACTTCACCGGACGAGGATTATTCTTTCTCCCCTTTTCCCCCTTCCTTCTCCCGAACCGGCTTCGCTTCTATCCCCACCCCCCCGCAACGTTTTTTTTAAGAAAAAGCGGAGTCGCCGGTCTTGGTGGAGGGGTCGGTGATTGACGGTGGCGCCGACCAATCGGACACGGCGCCGGCTGCGATGGCCGGTGTTGCCCGGCCAATGAGCGAGCGACGATGGGAGTAGGGCGGGACCCTGGTCCCGCCAGCCAGCAAGTTTGGTCGGTCGCGAGTGTGGTTGTTCTGCTCTCAGTGGTTCCTGAATGTGTTGGTCAAGGAAGAGGTGCCTGTCCTATTCTTAAACATATATATATATATATATATACATACATACACACAGTGCTGGGATACCGCAGTGAGTGAGCCGAACCAGGCAAGGTGAAAATTCTTGACAGACATGCCTCGGGGGGGGTCATTTAGTTTCTTTTCTTTAACTGCATGGCACTAAGACCCTTCGTGTCCGACCCGGTCATCGACCCTCCATCTATTCACTCCAATTTTCCAACACCTGGCCCGTAGATGGACCGCATTGTGTGTCCGTGCCCCGCCGCAAACTCCTCCGGATCTCCGAGTCTCTCATTGTTCATCAACACGCGGTGAGGTTCCAACAAGGGGCTTCATTTGGACCTCAAATCCCTCTTTTCGAGTTCATATTACTACTTACACTGAAGCAACACTTTTGTTGAAAACATGTACCTACAACAATTTAATTTTAATGTAGTCAAAGGGAATATTTTACGAGATTGATTTTTAGAAAATCTCTCCCTAAAAAGAAATTATCTTGATTTTCTTTTACCCTTTTGACATTTTTCGGTGACTTGACCTCGCAAGAAATGTTGTAACCCGTCCCGGCAGTAGCACTGACCGCATCGGGCTTTCTCAAATAGGCACCATTTTACCTTTTTGATTGTGAAAAGTAGTTAGACTGGTTTCCTATGCATGCCCCTCACCCCCACCATCAACTCCACCCACCCTCATAAGTAAAATTAAAGCCTTCAGACAGTGAGTAATATTTCCAGGACCATATAACGTCAACCACTCGGCTTGCTCACAGGAGGCGACGTGGCTCATTTTCATGTGACTCGTAGATTTTTCTCTCGCTCTCTAACAAAAGTTGCGGGTTATTATCCTGTGACGCTAATGCCGGGTTTGAGTGGCCACTCCAGGCAGCGATTCGGATGTCATGTTCCACAGCCATGTGGCAGTAGCCTGCTTTGAAATATGCAAATTGGTTAAGTGTAGGATTTTGGAGTTCGAAAGCGTTGTTATGATCAGAAGTAGCGGCCCCATGTTGGCCCTGGCTGGTGTTCGCGGAATCATTGGCGACTTTCTTTGCGTTCAATTCGCGGAATTATAATCGAGTTGAGATCACCCTGTGCCATTGCGTTTTATCTCCTTTCAAAAGAAATTTTGTTGCGTTAGTCAATCATGTGATAAATTTCCCTCCCGGGGATTTTTTTTTTTCTGTGCTGAAGGGTAATTCTTTTCAGAAAATTACTTTCCATCTCTGGATATTTCCAAGTGAGTATTCTTGTTTGAGTTAACTGTCAATTCCTATGAATCTCCATACTAAACGTCAGTGTTCAGCGCGGGGAAAGCGTGGACAGTATTCAGCTATTCAGTGAAGCATTGGATTATGAAACGGATCAGTGGGGTTTCAAGGTTGATCTGATTTGATTTTAGTTCTAGAAGTGGAGGTTTTATACCACGGATTCATGTATAATTTACAGGGTAGTGGGCAAAGGGATCACGGTGTGTTGATGTGCATTCCCCTGTTGTGTTTCTGCAACCAGTGTACGTGTGTGCCGGTGGCGATGGATTGGCGTGAGCGTGGAAAAATGTACTGGGAGTATCGTGTTCGAAGTTTGCAGCCTTCACTCAGATGTTGAATGAATATTTGGATTTTGTTTTTTGTGAAATTTGTAGGCGGATACAGAAGAAAGTCAGCACATTGGCTGGCAGTCCTGTTTCTCAAACTCCAAAGTTAAAGTTCTGACGTTAGTACACCAAATATTGCATACACGATATCAATAAGCCAGGTGCAGTGATGTGAAAGGAAATTCCATTTTGTAATCATATTGTGTTTCTCCGCCTTAAAAGTGACAGAAGTGAACGCCTCTGCAGATAATGGTTTAAAATTACGGAAATATTTGATGCAACAGGGGGCTTTCTTTCCAGTAAATTTCGTTTAGTGTAGATCATGCGACAAAATTAAAATAGCTAAAGTAGGAAATGCGAGGCAAAAAAAAAAAACAATTTTGTAACTCGTGACAGGGCACACCATTGCACTGCTAAAAATCTTTGACAAAGTGGAATGGGGAAGAGGTGGAGAAGGAAAATGGGATTTAATAGGTTACCATATTTCCCAAAATTCTCTGTCAGATGTACAAGTTGTGTATTATATAAAGTTATGTTAAAGTGAATATTTGCAGTGGCAGTTAATGTGTTACTTTAAAAAAACCTTCTAAATGACCCGAGTATGAGGAAGGTATGAACAAAATAAATAATACTGGGCAGGCTCATTTAAAGCATACACAAGACCTTAATAAAGTCACCAATGAATGATGGTTTGGAATGTTGTCATTCTTTGTCTGCCAAATTGTAACAGTATATCGTCAATGAAAAAGGAGGCATGTGAGTTATTAAATAACTTTTAAAAGAATGAAATTTAAAGCCCGTTATTAAAAATGAAAGGATATTATGCTAGTTTGTTGTTGTTAAGTCTAAGTGGATGTTTTTATTGTTCTGTTGAGTTGTGAGGAGCATTTTCGTTATTGGAAATTTTTCTCTCTTCCCTCTCCAAAAAATGCTTTTAAACTCCCAACCATGATTATAATGATTGAAATGATAATGCTTCTAATGCTGGAAATTTGAAACAAAAACACAAAATGCTGGAACTACTCAACTGTTCAGGTGGCATACGTGGAGAAAGAAACAGTTAATATTTATGATAAATGCAAGGTCAGTCAGAACCATTAACTCTGTTTCTCTCCCCCCCCCATAGGTACAGCCCACATTGAGCATTTCTAGCATTTTCCATGATTATAATAATCTGTCTTAGTGCTATTTTGAAATAATGATCCTGACCAAATGCAACTGAAGCATTATAACAATGGGGTCTATCTGTTATTGTTGAGAATTCATTAGTGCTAATGGTGGTGTTGTGTCCAGTTTCTCTCCCACATGCAGCACTGGCAGGCTTGGCTAATTGCACGAAGCTAAAATATGTGTGACAAGGCCTAATAATTATACAGTTTTAAATAATTTTAGAACAACCTTTTTAAACTAATCTTTTTGGGTTAATTTTGTTTGGATTGGAGGAACATAAGCAGGAATGCCACTGGCACTTTTCCTATACTTGGACAGTTACTTTTTTTTTCCCAACTTTGATCCTTTTTGAGTAGAATAAATGTGGGACCCTTCAAACGTATCAATTTTCAGTACAGTTCTACTATTTATGTTAAATGTTGAGCATTGTTAGAATTCTGAATTAATTTGAATCTGATGTCCTCTGTCTTATACTTCCATCTTTGGCTCAGAAGATGAGCAAGTAATTCCTCTCCTGCTAAAGTTCTACAGTATTACTAAATAAGCAGTACCTAGGTTTAGAGCTCTTGGTTACACTACCTTCCCTTTGTAGCAAGCATCTCCAATCGTATGACAGAGATTGGGAGTTCCATATCTGCGGATCAGAGTTTTAAATCTCCCTAGCCTACTGTATTAGGTTAACTGTGATGCACATCTGCCATTCAGATAATATTTTTAATGGAAATGAGCAATTATTTTTATATTTTTGCAGTTTGCTTCACTGAAGTAGTGTTGAGCTTATGGAAGAAATTGGTTTCTAATTTGTTTTGATATGTGCCAAAAATGAAAAGTAACTAAGAGGGGAATAAGATTTGCTAATTTGAAGAAGACCCTTCAACGTAAAGTTTACTCTGGGAAGGAAACTGTCTGGTGTGAAGTTTTATAGATTAATGTGATTGCTTCCCATATACTCCTACCAGCATGTTGCTCAGAACAAATATGTTTTACATTCTTGTCACAATAACAGATGGGTGCATATCTTGTCAATCAGTGGGCAGAATCATGCAGGTGAATGAACACTTCTTCTCTTCGAGTGATGTGCACATCACGAATAAACAGCCAGCATTTATTGCCCTTGAGAAGGTGACGGTGATACACTTTCTTGAACAAAAAGTCGGTGTAGTGTCACTACACCCACGAAGCTGTTAGCAGGTGGTGTTCCAGAATTTTGACTCCGATAACTGTGATTTAACTGTGATTATGGTTCTGAGACAGGATAGTATATGTCTTAAAGGGGAACTTGTAGATGGTAGTGTTCTCTAGCACTTACTGCCCTTGTTCTTATTCGTAGTTGAAAAGTTCATGGTAACACCGAAACTTTTTGCATTCCAACATATTCTAATGAAGTTGAGGAGATTTGTTAGAATGTTTTTGGTATTGACAGAATGAGCGTGACATTGGCAATATTATTGGTTAAACTTTGGTGTTGTGCCCATAGAGCAAACTCCAACTCCATCATGTTTTCCTTGTGTTAGTTTCATTAAATTTTCATGGCATTCTATGTAACATTGTGATTTAAATATATTCATAAAGTTCCTTTTTTTAAAACCCCTGAAACCTCATTAAAATCCATACAAGATGTTTTGGTGTGTAACAGTTCATTAAATTTGATATGATGGGTGCATTCGTGGATAGAGTTTGAGAGAGCTCATTCTAGATCTAATTTTCGCTTCAGAAATGAAATGCAAATAATATACATCTTTACTTATCCTTTTCTAAGAATCATCTGTTCTGTCAAGTACTAAATCCAGACTGGGAGATTTGGGCAATTTGAATGCCTACCATGCTTAATATTTAACCCACAGGAGTTGAAAGATTTATTTTGTGCTCAGTTGAGTTTATTCCATTGAGATCATATACCTGATAATGGTGGTGGAGCAGGGTTGGGGGGAGCAGGGAAGGAAGACGTTGAAGGGCAGGCTTAATCTAAATATCAGTGTCATAACTGTAGAATGGCTAGCATTACTTTATCCATTAATGTGTATGATGTGCAAAAAACACATCTGGAGTTTAGACGTTTTGTAGTTCATTTAAATTATCCAAAAATAACTGTTATAATGTTCAAATTAAACATCCTTACTTGTAAATTCTAATTAAAATGGATTTTAAAAATATTATTTTAGTCTTGCGCAGTGAGTATGCATCTATGCAACAAATGAAATCAGTATTGTGTCCAGATCTTCAAGGCAATCATCTTGAAACTCATAAGCAGCAATTAAATAGCAAACCTCCCTGAAATAGCACCACTTTTGTTTTTTGCTTCACCACACAAGTGTTTTTCTTAAGACTTCCTGTTGTCTCCAAACAGTCAGTAGTGAATGTACAGAGCCAGTGCTGTAAACATCTAGAAGCATATAGATAAATACAATATTATCTTTGATTACTGAATAGACATCCTGGAGAATGGCTGTACGTGTACTTTCTATTTATGTGGTGATTTTTTAAAATTTCACTTCATATTGTAAACATTTTCACACTGTATGTTTCATTGAAAATAATTCCATTTTAATGTACCTAATTTACTAATGATCCAAGGGCATTCTGTTCAACTCAGTTTCTGCTCTAAGCGTCTGTGTAATAAATATTGATGTGGAAGTAAATTATTTATATGCAAGTTAGTTGTAAAGCTTATGAATAACATATTGGTGCACATATTACCCTAATCTGTTAGAAATTGGAATTAAATACCTTAAATTCCAAAAATTAACAAAATCATCAAATGTCATATGATCACTCTATATACTGTAACTTTAAAACTTTTAAAATTAGTTTTCTTTTTCTTGTAATTTAATAAACCTCCTAATCTTAAAGTTTGTAATTCAGTGCCCAGTCTTTAAATAAAAGTGGCAATTGTACTCTGATTTGTACCACATCGTTGACATTCCAAGAAAATTGCTGTCAAAATTTGGACCACTGGGTCGTATAGCCAGAAAAACAGGGGAGAGGCACGCCCCACAGGAAAGTATGTAGAAGATTAGCACCCATATGCTGTGCAGTCTCAACAAAACACTGCCAATATATCACAATTGTTTACTTCTTCCTCAAAAAACATGCATTCTACGAGCAAAAAACATACTCTGCTCCTTAGAGTCATAGTCATACAGCACATTTATTGTTTTAATACAAAAGTCTTTGGATCATTGACTTAATGTTTCTTTTTCTTTTTCTTTCGTAGGTTGTCCAAATATAAAATGGATGATAGCTTTGATTGTGACTGCGGTGAGCTTGAGCCACCTGATCATTAATGGAAGTCATCTTTTAGGGTTAGAAAGCTGCCACAAGTTCATTTCTTGTCCAGGCTATAGTTAAAAGGAAAGAAAAAAAGTGCTCATCAGCACTGTAGAATGACGCTGCTCAGGACCAGTCTTACACTGAATGTATCTGCACTATGAGGAGGATGTCAATAGAGGTTTATAACACATATATATGTATTGTCACACGCCTTGTTAAATGTTAGCCTGTTTACAGCAGTAGTTTGGATGCATCTGTCTGTCGAAGTTCATTCCGTTGCAATCAAACTTTAGTTTCATTTTTAATGTCTGCAGGGATGCCCTTTTTTGAATTAGAAGCCTAACATTTACTGACCTAGGTCAGACGAGAATTTCTATTCTTCAAGTTGTTCATTCTTGAAAGGAGGGATTCAACTGGGAACAGAGCTGAACTTGTTCAGATAGGGTAGATGGCCCATACATTTCAAAGAGAAAATATCTTGAAGTTACGAAAAGGTTAAAGTTGGCTTGCTCTCTGTTGTGGAAGCTGATTTTTCATTAGTTTAGTTTTGACATAGGATTGCCCATCTGATAGGAGAGGAAAGCTTGAGGGTTATCAACATGGCAGAAAAGTTTGGAAGTTTAATGAACATTCATGGTTTTGATTTGGGTGCTCGGTATATGGACTTGAAGCCACTTGGGTATGGTGGCAATGGCCTGGTTTTCTCTGCTGTGGACAATGACTGTGACAAGCGAGTGGCTGTCAAGAAAATTGTCCTGAGTGACCCACAGAGTGTCAAACACGCCTTGCGGGAGATCAAAATCATCCGACGACTTGACAATGATAACATAGTGAAGGTGTTTGAGATTTTGGGTCCAAGTGGGATACCGATCTCTGATGATGTGGGTGCGATCACAGAACTGAATGCAGTATACATTGTTCAAGAGTACATGGAGACCGATCTAGCGAAGCTGTTGGAACAGGGTCCATTCTCAGAAGAGCATGCTAGGCTCTTCATGTACCAGCTGCTTCGTGGGCTAAAATACATCCATTCAGCTAATGTTCTGCACAGAGATCTCAAACCGGCTAACCTCTTCATTAACACTGAGGATTTGGTGCTGAAAATAGGGGATTTTGGTCTGGCACGCATCATGGATCCCCATTACTCTCACAAAGTAAGTTTTAATTTATTTCCCATGAACAAATAAGGTAGTCATGCTGTTAGTGTTGACTGTTATTGTTCAAATTTTTTGAGATAACATTTAGCAAGGGCATTATATGGCATGAGTAGGAATGAGTAGCGTGCCACTTGTTTATGAGGAACATATGCTGGCATTTTCTGATAAGAATTTCATGTAGTTTAAAGACTAATTGAGTGACCTCAATTGCATAGCTATATACCAATAATAATTGTAATTCTTGTACTATTTTAGTGCAACAAAACTGTTTTAAAGTAGTGAGCTCTTGAATAGAGGATTTTTTAAAAAACGTCATGCTGCAGAGGTATTGGAGAGTTGTATTGGTCCTGTAGGAAGTACAATATTGTAAATTACAGTCATCAACCTGTCATCAAATATTGTTACATACATTATAACTAATATATAGTGTTTTTGGTTTAGCTTGGACTGGTATACAACTTTTGACAAGGAAATGGCAATTTCAGAGTTAAAACATCCATTTCAATACCCTACGTCATGAATAACCCTTGTCATTGCATCAACTACCTGCAGAAAGATCTGCCTCATGCCTAATATATGATATGAGAGCTTTTTTTTATCGTTTGTGTAACTTCTATATTGTAAGCAAATAAAATGTCTTTATATAATTTTACTGTTTGCTAATATATTAAGTCCCGAATTGCTATGATCAAACATTACCTTTTTCTTGACCTAGGAGTATAAAGCTCTTTCTTTCTCTGCCCATAACAGTGCTTTCCCATAACCCAAAAGTTTGGAAGCTGTAGTCAATGGAGAAGATTAGACTTTTGCTTTTCAAACTAGTTATTCTTATAGCTTTTACATAAAACAATAGTTACTGGACATTTGTAGTAGAATTTGAATTGGTACTTCAAGCTGCCAATCAGATTATTCTAAATCTTAGAAAACAAAATATGCCTATTCTAAAATCTGTTCACATGATATTGAAATTTTGACTTAAGTGAAAGATGATTGCAGTCTACGTAGCTAAATAATGCAAGTTATACTGATATGCAGTTTATTCTTGAAATATTTCAAACTTGTTTAATTGGCCACTATTTTTTGGAGTTTGCTGAAGTCAATGGGTTGTTATTATCTAAGCAAATTTGAGGTATTCTTTCAAAACCCAAGTTCATAGCTTCTCTGGTCAAGGAATTGCAGAATCCTGACATTCTTACTGCCCTATTGACCGATTCACACGCGAACTACAGATGTATGATGTTTTTGAGATTTACGTTTTCCGCTGCTGATTTGATTCTAGAGTGTAGTGCATGGATTACATTCTGGCGTAGTTTCATAACGGCAGCAATAGTGTGCATTGAGATCAGTGACCTCACTGGTATCCCATTTTGTAGTCCCTTTGGAAATTAAGGCACCAGAATGTTGACATTTATCACAAGGTTAGCATCTGTTCCATGAGTGCTGATTAAATGTCTGGAAGCTTCTTTTCATGCATATGCCAGGGAGCAGCATATCCCGACAGTTGATACTATGTAAATATAAACCATCTTGATGGGCATAAAATTTTTGACTGTATTGTTTCTTTTCAGCTATAAAGGACAGATTTCAGGGTAACTTAGAATGAAACAACACAAGATCCGATTTGTCAGATTATTTGTCAGATACATGGATAGAGCAGGGTCAGGAATGGTTGTTGCAGGTTCCGGGGTTTAGATGTTTCAGTAAGATCAGGGAAGGTGGTAAAAGAGGGGGAGGTGTGGCATTGTTAGTCAAGGACAGTATTACAGTGGCAGAAAGGACGTTTGATGACAACTCGTCTACTGAGGTAGTATGGGCTGAGGTTAGAAACAGGAAAGGAGAGGTCACCCTGTTGGGAGTTTTCTATAGGCCTCCGAAAAGTTCCAGAGATGTAGAGGAAAGGATTGCAAAGATGATTCTGGATAGGAGCGAAAGTAACAGGGTAATTGTTATGGGGAACTTTAACTTTCCAAATATTGACTGGAAACGCTATAGTTCGAGTACTTTAGATGGGTCAGTTTTTGTCCAATGTGTGCAGGAGGGTTTCCTGACACAGTATGTAGGTAGGCCAACAAGAGGCAAGGCCACATCGGATTTGGTACTGGGTAATGAACCAGGCCAGGTGTTAGATTTGGAGGTAGGTGAGCACTTTGGTGATAGTGACCACAATTCGGTTACGTTTACTTTAGCGATGGAAAGGGATAGGTATATACCGCAGGGCAAGAGTTACAGCTGGGGGAAAGGCAATTATGAGGCGATTAGGCAAGATTTAGGATGCATAGGATGGAGAAGGAAAGTGCAGGGGCTGGACACAATTGAAATGTGGAGCTTGTTCAAGGAACAGCTACTGCGTGTCCTTGATAAGTATGTACCCGACAGGCAGGGAGGAAGTGGTAGAGTGAGGGAACCGTGGTTTACTAAAGAAGTTGAATCTCTTGTCAAGAGGAAGAAGGAGGCTTATGTAAAGATGAGGCGTGAAGGCTCAGTTAGGGCTCTTGAGAGTTACAAGTTAGCCAGGAAGGACCTAAAGACAGAGCTAAGAAGAGCCAGGAGGGGACATGAGAAGTCTTTAGCAGGTAGGATCAAGGAAAACCCTAAAGCTTTCTATAGGTATGTCAGGAATAAAAGAATGACTAGAGTAAGATTAGGGCCAGTAAAGGACAATAGTGGGAAGTTGTGCGTGGAGACCGAAGAGATAGGAGAGGCGCTAAACAAATATTTTTTGTCAGTATTCACACAGGAAAAAGACAATGTAGTCGAGGAGAATACTGAGATACAGGCTATTAGACTAGACGGGATTGAGGTTCATAAGGAGGAGGTGTTAGCAATTCTGGAAAGTGTGAAAATAGATGAGTCCCCTGGGCCAGATGGGATTTATCCTAGGATTCTCTGGGAAGCTAGAGAGGAGATTGCAGAGCCTTTGGCTTTGATCGTTATGTCGTCATTATCTACAGGAATAGTGCCAGAAGACTGGAGAATAGCAAATGTTGTCCCCTTGTTCAAGAAGGGGAGTAGAGACAACCCTGGTAATTATAGACCAGTGAGCCTTACTTCGGTTGTGGGTAAAAAGTGTTGGAAAGGATTATAAGAGATAGGATTTATAATCATCTAGAAAGGAATAATTTGATTAGGGATAGTCAACACGGTTTTGTGAAGGGTAGGTCGTGCCTCACAAACCTTGAGTTCTTTGAGAAGGTGACCAAACAGGTGGATGAGGGTAAAGCGGTTGATGTGGTGTATATGGATTTCAGTAAAGCGTTTGATAAGGTTCCCCACGGTAGGCTATTGCAGAAAATACGGAGGCATGGGATTGAGGGTGATTTGGCGGTTTGGATCAGAAATTGGCTAGCTGTAAGAAGACAGAGGGTGGTGGTTGATGGGAAATGTTCATCCTGGAGTTCATTTACTAGTGGTGTACTGCAAGGATCTGTTTTGGGCCACTGCTGTTTGTCATTTTTATAAATGACCTGGATGAGGGCGTAGAAGGATGGGTTAGTAAATTTGCGGATGACAGTAAAGTCGGTGGAGTTGTGAATAGTGCGGAAGGATGTTGCAGGTTACAGAGGGACATAGATAAGCTGCAGAGCTGGGCTGAGAGGTGGCAAATGGAGTTTAATGCGGAAAAGTGTGAGGTGATTCACTTCGGAAGGAGTAGTGGGCTAATGGTAAGATTCTTGGTAGTGTGGATGAGCAGAGAGATCTCGGTGTCCATGTGCATAGATCCCTGAAAGTTGCCACCCGGGTTGATAGGGTTGTTAAGAAGGCGTACAGTGTGTTAGGTTTTATTGGTAGAGGGATTGAGTTTCGGAGCCATGAGGTCATGTCGCAGCTGTACAAAACTCTGGTGCGGCCGCACTTGGAGTATTGCGTACAGTTCTGGTCACCGCATTATAGGAAGGATGTGGAAGCATTGGAAAGGGTGCAGAGGAGATTTACCAGGATGTTGCCTGGTATGGAGGGAAGGTCTTATGAGGAAAGGCTGAGGGACTTGAGGCTGTTTTCGTTAGAGAGAAGGTTAAGAGGTGACTTAATAGAGACATACAAGATGATCAGAGGATTAGATAGGGTGGACAGTGAGAGCCTTTTTCCTCGGATGGTGATGGCTAGCACGAGGGGACATAGCTTTAAATTGAGGGGTGATAGATATAGGACAGATGTCAGAGGTAGGTTCTTTACTCGGAGAGTAGTAAGGGCGTGGAATGCCCTGCCTGCAAAAGTAGTAGACTTGCCAACTTTAAGGGCATTTAAATGGTCATTGGATAAATATATGGATGATAATGGAATAGTGTAGGTTAGATGGGCTTCAGATTGGTTTCACAGGTCGGCGCAACATCGAGGGCCGAAGGGCATGTACTGCGCTGTAATGTTCTATGTTCTATATCTGCGCGTGATAATGGTAAATCTATTCTACAAGTCACACTTCCCCTCTCTTCCCCATGGCATCCATTTTACCCCTTTTAATTTATTTATCTCGTTCTGTTTGGAAAGCTACTGGGCATTGTTGGGCACTGCATGCAGATTGCAAAAATTATGTTTTTTAAAAGTTGCCTCACGTTGCCTCTTGTTCTTTCGTTAGTTGCTTTCAGTTCATATTCTTTAGGTACTGACTCCTTATTCTATCAAAATCCTTCATGATTTTGAACGTCTTTATCTAATCTTCTACTAGTCTTCTCTGCTAAAAGGAGGGCAGCCCTTCTTTGCAGCCTTTCCATATGACTTGAGCCCCTTATCCATGGTAAATTGCTTCTGCATCTTTTCTAAAGCCATGACATCCTTTGTAAATTCTGTCTAGAAATGAATACAGAGCTGAGGTCTATCTATCCAAATGTCTCTTAAATATTGTAATTGTACCTGCATCCAACACTTTGTCTGGCAGTTCATTCCACACGCGCCCTATATGTTCTTGATTTAAAATTTGTGTCTTGATCTATTTTACCATCACCGAAGATTTGTGTGCATACACCATCAGATTGCTTTATTCCAAATACCTGCTTAAAGCC